TCATGGTTTACCTATTATCTCTTTAAATGTATATAATTTGCTTAAATCTGTGTCTTTGATTATTATAATTCACTAATTAATGACATCAATCCTACTGGAATATGTAAGTACTTAGGAAATTTTAACATATACTCGTAATATAGGTAAATAGTAACGCTGTAGCGTCATCAATGCAGGGGGTGACACGATAACTTAGTACCTAAGTTGAAAATGTTATGTTCCTCGACGTCATGTCAAAGGAATAAATACCACTATCGTGTCACCTCCTGCATTAAATCTACTTATAATTAAGAGAAATATCTGGATCTACTGACATTATTGTAACGACAAATTGTAATTTCTATAATAAACATTCACATGCAGAATAATTAAATATCTCTTTAATAACATGATAAACTTTGAATAAATATGTATCGTTATGGAATCTAGTCCGCTGGACCGTTTACACCATTAGTCAGATTGTTTGGAGTATTAGAGTCATACACGCAGACATTGATAATGGTGTAATAGATCCCCATATGTTAAACCTTATATTCAAAAAGAGGAGTGTGAAATCACGAAGATAAGGTTAGCAGAATAAGTCTAGATATTGTCAGTGACAAGTGAGCTTAAAGCTTCAGATTGTTTTAGTATAAAGAGCTACAGATATAAAGTGTATAAAGGAAAAGTTTTCTAAAAAATTAAATTTTAGGATAAGTATAGTCAATACGATTCTTAATCGGGTAAGCTCAAACTCGATATCTTTGCTTAGATTCGAAGGGACCTTCGCTAGGGGCGAAGAGGCAAATAGTTTCAAGTATTGTTGAACGTTATTTTCGCCTTAGACAATAGCAGTCACGACTCCATATAGAAAGAGATCACAAGGTAGCACAAATTTTTATAAGTCAAACTAGTCTAACTAGTTTGTAAAATGATTTAAAAGAGGAAAACTTTTTTAAAGGGAATATAATACGTATAATATATAACTAACACTGAGCAAACGCCACAACCGTCAGAAGAATAGATACAAAACAAAAATGTACGATTCAAATGTTTAAAGGTTTGATCGAGTAACTTTAATGGTATGTTGCCCTTCAAAATACTTCCTCTATCTTTACCATAATCCATAGTTACGTAGGCACAATATCCTATTAATTTAAGTAGATATTCTTATCTACTACACATTAAAGTCAATTTAAAGTTAAATTCATTAAAATTTTGAAATATGTACATAACAGAATATTGTACACTAGCAAGAATATTATCCCCCAAATTCCTTAACTACATCACTTTGGCTTACGCATACATAATGAAATAAATCTCGTTGTGAGATATAAATATAGCTTCGCCCGCATTATGCATAAATAATTCAAATATTATAAACTATGTATTATAATAACTTTATAGAATTTATATATAGAATATATATAAAGATCAGTAACTTGAAGGCATTAAGTTTCATTTGCAAGATTCACAACGTTAATATAATATCATTATTTATAAATACGATAGTCTTTTAAATATCAAGCTATATTATTTAACTCTATTTCTCACTTTCTGGACATTCTTATACCTATAATACGCCATCTTACGATGTGTCTTCCTATACTTGTCATTCTTAATGTAAATAAAAGATATATAAAAAAACGGAAATTATACGTAAATAACTATCATAGTTTATAAAAAAAGTATACAAAACTGTTATATTTACCCGAACATATGAGAATTTTATTTAAGTATGTATTGAAATAAGCATTGAATATTATTGTTACGTATTTATTTAATATATAATATCAAAATAAGCAATACAGGTTCAAACACGATATAAAAATTAATTTTTAAAATCACAGATCGTTGACTAGTTATGAATAAAATATTTAAACCTATCAATATCCACTATCTAATGATCAAGGTATTATGATCTAACTTTTGTTTCAATTTTCAATCTGACGAGATATAGACCAAGTGTTTATAGTTGGATAAATTATTTAATAAATTGTTATATTTCAAATAATATTGAAATAAATAAGATTAGTTGTTATAATACGATTTTGTTGCACGATTCATTGAGATATTGTTATTTATTTAATAATAAATATTTAGTTATTCTTCACTTAGTAAAAAGTTAAATTACTTTCTTTAATAAAATTAGATTTATTCATTTTGAAAGGCGATTCCCTCAAGATTCTTTGTCAAAATAAATTTCTATCTAAACCAAATATTGTAGGTACGTGATTTGAGTGAATGTGCATAAGCGATACCGATACGCTAGATGGGGCGTGGTATAAGTTAGTTTCGTAAGAGGATTGGTATGCAAAATCTCAAAAACATTGCCGAATATGAGATCTGTGAAGCGTGTAGGATGGTGAGTGAGTAGCGAATGTAGATCCGATGTGATATGGGACGTAATGCATGAGTGCAGGGAGCGATGGAGCGAGGCGCGAAGAGCCGCGCACCGCGCCGTCAACTCGCTCCCGTTTACGTTAACGATTATCGAATTCTCTTTACGTACGCCCGGAAAACAGCTGGTGCTGGAAGCAACCATAAACACTCATTAAAACTTACGCCCCGGCGACGTCGTTTCGAATTTATTACCGTTGTCCGACTCGAGTATACGAAAATGGAACAGTTACTTTAATGCAGACAGGAATACAGTGTAGTTTATGAATAACGTGTCAAATCTGTACTTTTAGTATCACTGTTTGTGGACAAATGGTTTAATTTTGACATTTTACATTGTGTTAACATTTGGTTAACTTTTTATGATGGATTGGTGGTAGATATTACCTGTAATGTAATACTTTTAATACTAATTTTTGAAAGAACTCGAGGCAAATAACGATAGTAAATCGAAAACAGTAACGGGACGCTGCAAGTCGCGCGGCCCGCGCCCCCTCCGAGGCGGCTATTACGTACTCTACACAACGTCCTAGGTGTCTACTAACTAGTCCTAGATACTTTACCACTACACACCGCACTCACAAGCCAACAAAACAAATCTACACTACAGGAAATAATGAAAATGATTAAATTAATTTACTGTTATTCATCAATAAACAAAAAAAAGAAAATATAATTCATAATGTTCTGAATTAATGGTACGAATGAAACAAACGTCTTTGTACCCACAAGTCAATTGCATTTTAAAAGTTAGCATGATATTTAAAGTTGAAATTCGTTTCAAAATTACAAATATTTTGGCTTAATCTTGAAGGAACCTTAAACAGTGCGAATTATATCTTTTATTTAAGCAGGAAGGTATTTACTACTACATAGTTTATTTAGTTAGAAGAAATCTTTTGGCGTAACTGAGATGATCGTGCAATAATGCTAAACATAATAATTATCGATGTTTACACAACATTGCGTTACCATAACTTTAAACAACTTAAACTAAAATATAAAACATTATTTGTATTTCACATTAGACGTTACAACTAAATTCTAATAGAATTAAAATAATCTATAAATGTTAGCGTATTGTTAACTTATAACTTATAATATCAATCATTATGTATATGGTTTAAGGAAGTGAGAAATTATGTGATTTAAGAATAAGGTTATATATTATATATACAAAGTAAATATGGACGTAAAAGAAAGATTAAAGTATATTTTTATGAGTAAAATAATAGGGTGCATAATCTCATCGACTCATTTAATCTCGATTTAAAGATAGCAGCTTTTGAAGCTTGGTTTGGCACAATATAATATAATATAACATGTCTAACCCGTTATAAACTTTGATAAAATCAACAAAAACAAAAAGTTTTCTTTATATAATTTCTAATACAATAATACCATATCACAGCACCATATACAGCATTTTGCTCTATACCGTTACTTGGTAACATTTCTCAATACTTTATTTTTCAAATATTTATTTTTTTCTAAATTTTCAATATAATTGGACATTAAATTCACATTTTCAATCAATGCAGAAGTGATATGTCCACATTATACCAATTAAAGCTTACTTTTCCATTTCGTCCTACCGCAACATACTTTTGAACTACAGTGAAAATCAGATAATAGTAACAAGCGAGTCAGTCTTAATTTTAGAAACTCAAGAAATCTTTTAATAGTAAAAATAGTTTTTAATAATTTGTTTATTAGGACTATTTCAAATAAGAATATTTTATTGTTGTACATAAATATATCTATATGCAGTACTTTAAATTATTAGATAGTATTGTACAAATTGTACATTTGTTATATCCCCATTCACCCTAGTTTTCCACTTTTTCTAAGGTTAATTTAATCCGCATTAAATCAGTATTTAACGACGAGACCGCCTTTTGTGTTAAATTTATTCATTTATTATATGCCTAAAGTTTTGTTATTTTGTGGTGTACAATATATATAAATAAAGTAATAAGAAGAGTATAGGGGAATTCAAATGCAAACTAATGTTGAAATTTGACAACAGAGATAGTAGAACTACTGAATACTATGAAGGGATCGGACGGGGATAGCCAGGTCGGCGGAGTTGTGTACCAGAGCGCAAGAGCGTCTCAGCGATCCTTCTCGCTGAAACGCCCTCTCTCTCCCACTAGCAGACAATTTTTAAAGTGGCAGTATTTACACAATCTCGTAAAGGCTTACAGGTGAAGGACTAATAATTAATATGAAACTCAAAAGATATACAATTCGAGTGAATTATTATAGGGGCAAAAGAAAAAAATATATAAAAGTACAATAAATTATTTGTGAAAAAAATTAACAAATCATGTATTATATGGGAAGTGTAAGAAAACAACGAAAATGTTTGGTTGGAAGCCTGAACGGCATCATGTAAACATGTCGCTTATAAAAATAGGGCGCCTTGGGTCTGCCGTTGCGAGTGAGTAAGATGGAAAGCTTAACGAGTTAGAGTTATATTTAAAGAGGGGCACTTCCGGACTGCCATTGCAGTGTGCCGCAAAGCACTGTACCCTGCGGACGTGGCGCCCTGCAACGCTCCCCAGGGCTGAGGGGCATGCGGTGCACTACCATGGGAGCCGACAGGAAGGTGCCTTACCATGCCGCTGCTGATCTGCTGCAAGATGCCGGAGCCCTGTGAGCCGCTGAGGCACGCGGACGGCCGCCGCGACCTGATCGACTGCATCGATGATGTCAGCAAGAACGGAACGCTCGATGAAGTATTCGGCATCGAGCCACCCTATACGCATCACAGTGTTGTAGCATATGTCCACGGAGAGAAGTTCTTGTCAAACTTCGGTAAATGCAACGAGTATTGGTTATCCCATGCAAATTAAGGAGTAATTATCCAAAGGGAGATTTAGTAGTGCCCAAATAAAACTTCATGCGAGATGTGTTTTAATGTTATATACACTGCATTGAACGTTATGCAGTAGATACTTGAGGTTAATATAAAATTTCTCATAATTAAAATGTCTTTTTTTTTAATTATAAAAATGGAATAAAGGTTTAAATTGAGATCCATTATTAAATTGTTTTTAAAAATAATGTGACTAAATTAGATCCAAGCAACTTCCAAGGCGGTGGTGTGTATTAAGAATAGGTAAAATTTAACAATTGGTATTCATAAATGTGTTTTACGTTTAATATGACAAGAATATAACTTACTATCCATAAACTGTGTTCGTACCTAAAAGCAATTAGTAGGAAATACTACTGCATGCCTATAAATGTACGTACAGTATACCATTATAAGAAACATGTCGAGCTCACATTCTCGAATTAAAGAACTTAATTAGTAAACTACACTACTGATATAGCTTCAACGCACGGAGATGTTGCCGTTACTAGATTTTTATGTGATTTATGTGATAGTTTCTAAGGTGGGGATGTTTGAATTGTTCCAGTGTATACAAAGAGCACAGAGATACGTTTGGGCAACATCAAAGTGATACTAAATATACATATGATGACAGTAGATAACAGAAGTCGTAACTGAACGACAAACATGTAAGAGAAGATCATACTCACGATCATGCTCCGTGCAAGCTGCGTAGAAGAACAAATAGCAATAGTATATGAGACAGCGTAAATCATTCGGCCTCAGCCTCGAAATGGATGAAAAGATGACTTTGATTATATTCCTTTAACATTTATCAAAACATAAAACAAGCACTTGCAGAGCCGAGAGCTCGTGTCGGCTGAACGTTTTCATAGAGATATGTAACTGTTTGATTACAATCTCGTGAAAACTTAACTAGTAATAGTAGAATATTGTCATGAAAATGTAAAATTTTGAATATAGTAATAAATAATACGTTTTTAAATTTTATTGCCAATTATAATTATTAACCATAATATAACACATTATCGACGAGGGTCCTTTGGGAAATCAAAGTTAAGAGAGGACGAGCTTTGATAGCTGGGAGAAGCTACACTCCCGGCGAGTTGAGTTGCTACAGTGAAGTGACAGGCGCCATGCATCGCGGTTCGCTCACAAAACAGAATAACGAGCATGCATCACTTCATTATTTTTGAAGGTTATGTCTCCTCGCAGGAATGAAAGAAGTATCGATGTGATGCGATGAAAGACAGAAAGAGCTCGCAATGTGTGATAAAACGCCAACCAGGTTCGTGCATATGGACGTGTGTGATGGTGATGATGAGCAATGACACGATCTCTCCCAGTCCGTATGGGAAGAAGACCCGACCGCAGAAGAGAACAGTTCCACATCAATTTAAGCCGTTCCAAGTCGACATTCAATAGAGGATTCGGGAACACGTTGCGAGGCGGGTGTGGGTGATATACATCACTTACGACGCAATGCGAGGTGGATGGCACGGACAGGCTCGAGCCTGAGCCGCCCCGTCCTCTGTATTGGTGGACCTGCCAAAATAATACCGTCACTTGACCATTAACACTGACGCTGGTAACTGAAAGAGATCACCGCAACTGCAATCCCTTCTTCTGTGTAATGATGATTTTATTAAATATTATTATATGTGGTAAATGATATGAGTCAATTGTGTTGAATGACTTCAGTGGTTGCACTCGTACGACTTACAGTGGGTGGTGATAAATTGACAGCAGATCCACGGCGCTCCTGCGGCCCAATGCTGGAGTGGCGGCGAGTTGGTAATCCTGTAGTTCCTCCGGGTGTGCCACCAGGAGAAGATGCGCATGATGGAGCAATTCGGATCTTAGGAGTCATCAAAGTATTGTCAGATAAGCGGCGATTTGGAAATACGCTCGCAACACGTAAAAAGTTACTGTCATTGTTTGTAGAATTGCTAGATCCAAAGAACCATTGTCCGATGCCTGTGCCTAAAAATTATCAATAGAGAAATATGTATTCAATCCTGTTTAAAAAAGATGGCATTTTTCAGGAAACTCTTTCTATGCAAATAATACTTACTTTTGAAGCCCCCTACACTGCCAGTATTAGCTGTGGTAGTCGTGGGTGGTGCAGTTACTGAATTTTTGCGAGCCATGTCTTCAGCGCTCGAAGTCTTACGCTGTTCGACCCGTAAGTTCGGTATATTAAATGGCGGAGCGGCCACATTGTCCGTACTACTTTGGTGGCGAAGAGCGCGACGCTCGGGGCTTGGTAAAGCCGGATTGTCCGGTTTCAACTTTACTCGTTGGCATTTATCAATATTTTCCAGCATATCATACAGTATCTGTGTAAATTAAATAAAAATGTTTACTTATTCGTAATACATATGAGAAAATAAAGAAAGATATTACTTTGATTAGCTTGAGATCATTAATTCAAAAGCAATAAAAATTAGAGAAAAATCCAGAAATGTTTACTTCGGGAAGTTTTGTTATGGCGGTCCAATGTTCATATATTATAGTATATGAAAGTATTTTATGTTTTGTATTTCATCGTTCACTAGACGTTATTTTGCAAAATTATTGGATGAAAACAACGTCATTATAAAAAATATGCACATAAGAGAAGAGACTTAGGTGAAGTACATAATATGTACAAATATTCAGAAAAAAATGTCTATTTGAATCCGGTAAATAGAAGTTTAAAAATATATATATTTTTATTATGATTTTTAGTTTTCTTATACGAAGAATGGTTTCCGTTTTATGAAAGAGAATTAAAAAAAATATATTTTGGTACATTTTGCAATCGCTATACTCGTATATTGTATTACTGCGGAACTGTTATTATGTGAAGTTTACCAAGTATAAAGTGTGAAAATGGTATAATAATATTCATATTATATTAAAATGAAATTTAGCTTAATTCAATTAGACTTTTATAAGCGCTAATAAATCGTCAACTTGATTTATTTCTAGCTATTGGTCTAAATAGAAGAGCAATAGTGAGGTGTTTAACGGTCTATTCGCCTCGTTTCAAATAGAGCAATAATTGAGTTGATGCTAACAACGTTACTGTCCTTTTCAATATCGGCTTAGTGATTGCGTTTCGATATAATGTAGTCGAGTGTTGTGAAGTAAATAATATATAAGTACGGAAATAAAAATTGAAAATCAAGAAACTCAAAGTAATTAAAATAAAATAAGGCAATTACCATGAATATTTCAGAAGTCTTTGCATTTTGTGAACTTACCTCCATGAGGGTTCCAAATTGGTCTAAACTCAGAGCTGGATTGATGGTCTGTGGAGCTAGGGAAGGTATCATCTTGGTAGCCATCACATTCGTAGTAAGCGCGAACTTCCTCTCCAGAAGCATTGATTTGTACAGTTCTGTAAGCACTCACATTTTTAATCAAATTATAGTGTAGCTTACTAAAGACCACAACATTATCTATAATAGCATAAACAATCGCAATGCTCGATGAAATAAATAAAATTCGCAATAACTAAAATCGCAAAGCCTTCCATTAATAACCATCATAATATAGCATTATTAATAAAATCTGTCCAGAATACTAAATGAATTCGCTATGGCAATAACAATTTATATATCTAATGTTTTCAGTTTAGATTTAAGTGAATTCAGCACAGATACTATTTGGATATAGCACAATGGACTTTTAATGTCATATTTTTTCTTACATACAATATTATTTAGATATATAATAAATATAATATTAGATTAGCAGTGCAGTGCAGTCCTGGAGCAATGAAAAGGTTTACTTACTGACAACTCTTGTGATAATATCTGGATCACTCAACCTCATGGAAAGAAGGGTTGGAATTACTTCTTCTAAAATGTGATTCCTTTCGAGGCGAATAAGTACTTTTTCAAAGAATCCAAGAATAAGGCTGATGACTTTGACGTCGCTTTGATTTTTTTCAAGTAAAATTTTCACTTTACCCAAAACAATATTATGCAAAGCTCGGTCACTTATAAAATCCGATATATTTTGGATGGCAATAAGAGAGGACGTCTGTAAAAAGATCTAAGTTATAGATATTATTGTAAGAATGCAGAACAAAATGAATATTTTATTTGGATTCCTTTTTCCTTTTAGTTTCCACGGACGATTGCCGTTTCTTCTAATAATGAATAAAATAATAAAATATGATATATAAATATCAAACCTGGATATGATTATTATTATGATCCATCGCAGTATACAATAGTGGCAATAGTTCGTTATTCACATCGTCCCTTGTGGATTTCCGCATAACAATATGTAAGTTCTCCAGTAAAGTGACGGCTGCTTGCATAGTTTTCGGCGAGTTCATCACGTTACTGAAATCTACCGTTCTACATCTCAACATAATATACGCTCTTTACTCCGACAAAGGTTCTATAGCCAAATGGTAAATTATTGCAATTGAACCGTGAAAGGATAACGTTTGTATTGTACGCTTACTTTTAAATTATGTCTTATATTACGTTCGTCTTAAATCAATAAATACATTATCTATACATATAATAAAATTATAACCAAGCTGAATCTGTACATTAAATATTTTTTGGAAAATCTTATTGAAATAGACATTATTATCGATGCAGAGGACGAATCTTTAGTTTTTAGAATTTTTGTCTGTCTATCTGCCTGTCTGTTACTGCATCACGGAAAAACCACTGGAGGGATTTTGATGAAATTCGATATGGTGATAGCTGGTTATCCGGGTCAACATATAGGATACTTTTTACCGCGGGAAAATAGCTTATTTTTGAGAAAAAAATACAAAACTGCAATGTAAGAGTTTACTAATATGTAAAACTTAAAAAAATGGTTTTTGGTCATCTGAACGCGGGCGGAGCCGCGGGCAATGCTAGTATAATATATATGTATACATACATACATATAACATATCATTCTATAGTTTTAGGAACATGATAAAAAATCGTGTATAAGACTCACCTCAACGCAGGCAGTACGTATGAGCCAAACTCTTCCGGAGTGGCCTCATTTGTCATCCAAATAACGGGTATTAGTACATCCGCTAGCACTTCAGTGGATCTCACTTCGAGTTGTAAAACGGGCCAAACATGTTGCCATCGTAGTTTCTGCAATGTAGTTAATAATTAAAAACACCTGGCGCATCGCTACCGTGCCTTAGAACTTCTTGATATTCACAGCCGCCATAGCTTATGTATACTTTCGCAATGCAACCATTTCGCAAAATAACGCTAAATGACACAAAATAAAATTATGAATACTGGAGATAAACTTTGTTTATTATCAATATGCTCTTCTGTCTATATAATTAATTAATCACAATAAACGAATCACATAAAAGCTGTGGAACGATATTTCATATTAATTGATATTTCAGAATTAAAATGATTCAAATACTATTAAAATTATTACATAATCTGTCTATATAAAAGGCTTTGCCCTGACTGACTGTAATATAATGGTTGCATAAATGTAATAAATAAATATGTTGGGACATTAACACACAGCGCCATCTAGTTCCACGGTAAACTACGAGGCTTGTGTTATGGATACCAGATAGTTGATACACTATACATATATAACTTTAAATACATACATATTATAAATATAAACACCCATAACTGGAGTACAAACATTCGTGCTCATCACACAAATGAATGCCCACAGCGGAACTTGAACCCGCCACCACTGGCACAGCAAGTAGTATCACTACAAACTAAAGCCAAACAAGTCGTCATCACTCCAGATTCAGTTACCCCTAAAAAGTTCTTTGTATATCACATTGGTGGATCTTCCGAATGGTTCTGCTAAAATATCCATGTGAGAAACAATCCTCTTAAGGCTATATATATATATATATATATATATATATATATATATATAAAACTAGCAGAACCCGCGGCGTTGCTCGCGCGAAACTTCAAAAAAACCTCTAAAAAGAGATTTCATACAAAATTTCATGCCCTATTTTACCCTTTTACGAGATGGATTTCGAAAAATGCTAAAACACGTATTTATTTAATTGTATTGAAGAGCATTAATACCAAGTTTCAAGTAATTCTGATCATAATGATTTTTGTTGTTGTATTATAACGTGTTTTCTCGTGAGAATGAGATAATCTCCCATATATATTATATATATTATACCCACACGAAAAATCACGCCAGTACGTCATTCCAACGTGACGTCATTTCGACGTGATAAAAGGGCAATCAAACAAACACACTTCCACATTTATAATATTAATAATGGATATATAAAAAAGGCTTTATATATACAGAAATGATTGATTCCCCATATAAAAAAAGTTTCATCCCCCTTTTCATCCTTTTAAGGGATGATTTCCGGGATAAAGCCTATCCTATGTCCTCTTCAAGTCCTTAAACTATCATCCAAATCTAAAATCGATTCAGCAGATTTTTAGTTTATTTAAACATAAAAAATATTTGTATAGACTAGCGACTTACCCTCGTTTCGTTCGGGTGCGCCCTGGATAATATTTTTAATATTTTGGAGGGGTACCCTTATTCTTTTTCTAAAATAGAAGTAGTCTAAGTTACTTCTTATAACCTTAGCTATCTACCAGTGAAAATCCCATTAAAATCAGTCCAGCCGTGCCGGAGATCATCCATAACAAGCAGTCGAACAGCAATGTTATTGTTTAAAAAATGTGTTTTTCTTATAAGTGTCGAATATAATTTCATATGCTTTTAGTGAAAAGCTGATATTTTGACATTACAAGTGGACACTTCTTTAGTTGTAGTTTGAACGCGAGCCATGTCGCGGGTTCTGCTAGTTTACGTATGTATACATAGATAAATACAGACTTAAAAATATAGACATCAACACAACATCAACATTAGGTATTGAAAAATAGTAAAATAAACATAAAATAATAGTGTTGCATCATATAATGTCGATTAAGTATGTAGTAGATAAACATCATTATAAAATATGTTCACTTACCATTCAATAATTATTCTTGCAATAGTTCAGAGGAATGGATAGCGTGGATTGCAAACTAATATTTCAAATTGCGTAATAAGGAACTCAAACAATTTTGATATAAATAAAAAAGGAACTTAAGAATTGGCACATGTTTCAGTAATAAAATATATAATTGTTTGTTTGTATGTCATGTGTGTATATATATATCATGTGTATATATATATCATGTGTATATATATATATATTTGTTTACTAAATAATAGCTTAAAATAAAAGTTCTCCTTGAATATGGTTTAAAAGTTTGGAATAAAATAGGGAAAGTAAGCTATGATGATACATGTTAAATTACATACTCATTTTACATATAAAAGACGCAATGCATAAATTCTTAAATGAAAGGTGATCGAGGAGGAGAACTCTGAAATTTTCAAGTGCGAATTATTTCTAACGTGACTACCGCTTGTCTTACGGTGAAGGAAAACATCGTGAAACCTCCTTTGCTGCTTACCCAATATTTTTTATTTATTTTATTTTTATATATTTTTTCAATTTTTTATGTATTTTTTCATTTTGTTTTTTTTTATATATTTTTTTTCGCTTTTTTCATTTTTTCATATTTTTCATCTTATTTTTATTATATTATATTTTTATATACTATTTTACTTATTTAATCAAAGAATTTTCTACATTACAATAAGCAGTTACTACAACGTTATACATATTTTTTTGTAGAGTGAAGAATGAGATGTGTCAATCCTTAATATTTATGTAAATAGTAAAATAAAATAAATTGCCAATTGAAAAATAAAATTAAGTTTTTTAAATGCTACTTTACTCTTCGGGAATAGTCTCTAAACGACCTTCGAATATCAATATACAACTTGGGAAGATAATCACTATTGTCCCATACCGCGCTAGCGCTTGAAGAATTTGTCTTCGTTCCTTCTAATAATAGAAAAAAATTTAAAGAGTGTGTGTATGTGAAGCAAGCACAAGAAGTAAACGTGCTGTATCGGTACTGTTTATGAAATTCAATTTATGTTTAAAATAATTAGGATAGGTGAGATACTAAAAATACCGCTTATTAGGCATATTACAATCATATTTTTATAGAATATCATTTAAGGAAAGAATATAATATTATATATCATTTGACAGACTATAACAACGGTTACCATGACAACAAACGTTCGCGTCGCCCGATTTACACTTTTCGTCACGCATTTACCAGCTTACCCCCCAAGTTAAACGTGCGTAAAGAAGTTTTACTTCAAAACTGATGTAAAAATATAAAATATTAATATATCGGGTATTAGATCGGGGATAACGTTATACAAAATGATATATAAACAATATTCTATTCATAAGAATATCGAAATTCAATTTAGGTTCGTTTAAAAAAGCATACATACTTTAGTTGACTGATATTTAAGTGCTAGGTATTATTAAGACAATTACGTTTCAATCTCTTTTGCTTATATAAAACAATAAAAGCGATTTTCTAACAAGCTTCAAAGTTATAAGTGAAATTACTTTTCAAGTCAACTTGAAGTTTGTCAGTTTCTTGAATACCGGAAACAAGATGTTTGAAAAAAAAACAAATTGTTTTATACACAACCGAAAATTGTCTATTTATATTGTCCGCTAACTTTGAAGTAATTAAAAATTGAAATATAACCTTGGTGGAAAAAGGTGCATTTTAAATTTATAAACGACGAAATAAAATTGTTTATAAAAGGTATTAAATAGTAAAAAAATTTGAAACCCTGTATCAGACATAACAGATTACATAAGAAAGGATGCATTACATTAAAATATTTTTGTACAAACACAGAATATACTTGTACAATTATCGGATTCCATTTTCGAAGGAAAACTTTTAATTTATTTCTTGTTTGAAACTATATTCGTGGGACTACAGTAGAAAAATGAGGACGTTAAGTCTAGAGAGTTTATGCCGATAAATCTATCCGTATACGATCGGCTTAATCGCTATGCAGACTAGTATGCACGACACATAAGCAATAAATATTTCTTGTTACCTTTGGGATAAAGGGCAAGGCCTCAACAAGAGCGGTGCGGTAGAAGTGGCTTTTTTGTGCGGGATCCTTCATAGTTATGACATCGAGGAACTGCATAGCTTGGATTGCGGGCTCACTCTGGCATCTATTAAAATTTCCGTTAAACTTCACTCATATTTTTTTTTGGTTTTAGCCCCACGTCATTTTTTTAAAAGTTTACCTTGTTTCTGTTCCTATACATAAAACAATCACACAGCAACCAAGATAAATAAAATGTTTAAAAAAATAATTTGAAACCATAATTAGTTCTAAGTTTAATTATAAGTAATAATTAGTATATGGGGCACATCACGTGAAGCGGACAACGAAAATAAAGTGAGGTTGTGAAAATTGTTCATACTCTGGTCAATTATAGTTCTAGTGGATATGGATGTGCAAATACATTATTTTTTTTCGTATGAGGCTTTATTGCCGAGTTATGAGCTTTTAAAAATTGACGAAATATGAAATCCGTACTTTTTGAATGCTTATTATTTGTTTCAATCAATGTGTAAAAATATCGTTTCTCAAAGTTAAAAGGATGCAGTTTTTAATTTTTTATCGAATTACAAATTCGTTTCTTTTTACGTATAGTAAACCGGAAGTAAAGATTTCAAATGGATGTTTGAGTAATTTCGCCATATTTTTTTTTCAATATTTTAACTTTGACTTAAAGCTTTGAATATCTTAATTTTTCACAAAAAAAATTATAACGTGATCGCCAATAGTTTAGGACTTAGAGCATATTGAGTACATACACATCGCTATGAGAATTTTCGTAGCAGTAATGTTTATAAGTTAACATGCTAAAATACTATGCTGTTACCATTTTATTCTTTTATTTTAACATGCTTAAATATAAAAATATACGACATTAATTTCTTTTTTTAAATAAAAATGATACTACTTACTAGAAAGGAACAATCTGTTTTATTATAAACAAGATTTTAACAAAGAAGCACAGTTACACTTTCATGCCTTAGCTCATGAAAAAGGGCCATGTGATGGTCTTGGGGAAAATCTTAAACGTCTGGCAACACGTGCCAGTTTACAGTATATCAACAAAATTATCACTACACCGTTGAGGTTGTATGAATGGGCAAAATCTTCGTCGACTGAAACGTCAATATACAGTAGTAAGCAATAGCTCGAAGGAAATTATACAACAAGAGCGACACTTTCTACGAATCCGTTTTGCTTCCGCTATCACCGTTCCAGGAACTAAAAAACTTTATGCTTTTCTCCCAACCAATGAAGGTCTCTATGTTAAAAGGACCAGTGCTTGTGCAAATAGTAAAATTGTAAAAATTACAAAAAAAAGTTATCTATTATAATTAATTCAATTTCAATCTCAATTAATATGTAGAACCGTACAGCTGTTCCATATATTTACTCACTCGTATGATTTTAACTACTTTTAGCAGTATATTGTTATATATAGTTGCGATTTATACGTACTCTCTTATTTCACACTCGAAATTTGTTAAAAAATTGTAGTGAGATTTTTTAACGAAAAATTATATATAAAAATTGCAAATACTTACTATAAAAAGAAAAGAAATAAATTAATGGTAATCATATTTGTTAGCAGTTATATTTTATTTCTTAAATATCATTTTACAAAAAAAAATAGAGTAGGTATAGTATGTGCTGAAGGCGACAGACTCAACCAAAAAAGTACTGGATGTGGCGCGCAGTGCGATGTGTATGTACTCAATATGCTCTAAGTCCTAAACTATAGGCGATCACGTTATAATTTTTTTGGTTGTTGTCCGCTTCACGTGAAATGCTCCATATAAGATATTTGAAGAGAATTATAGGAAACACAGTAAAAAAAAAGAATAATAATCAAAAAATAAAAACTAAAAAATATAGATTATAATAATAATAAATCGTTTAATAATTCATTAGTTACTTAGAAAAAAAGCAGAACCTGTAACGTTCAAAAGTTAATCCATCAACTATTTTTATTTGTTATATTGAAATATTTGTTTTTTATTGTTACATTTTTCAAGTGAAATGAATTAAGGAGTTAAAGTTATTATATTCTACATTAAATTACTTTAATATTTTATAACTGTTAATATATGACACTTTCAAGCAGTATTGGATTGGTACTGTACTACCAATTACTGTTTGATATGGTAAGTAAATGTTTGGAATAAAATGTGTATAATACGATAATTGTATTGAATTTACCAATACATGTTGAAATCTAAGAAAAATAATAAAAGTTGATATTACTTGAAATAATTAATGAGTGGCAGCAATTGCGTTGAGGGCCGAGGGTGAGGGTCGCGCGAGAGCAAGCGCTTGACAGCTTCCTGGAGCCCGGCCGGGATGCGTGGGAGGACCTGGTTTACTTGCAGGTCCAACTACAAAACAAAGAATATAAGCATGTTATATATTTAAACACCTTTTTTATCTGCTTTGTATGCCTATATTAATTCATCAATGATTTGGAAATTGTCTTGAAAATATATGTACTTTATTATCCTTGAGTTGTATATTTAAATTTTGAATATCTATGCAAAAGTCGAACAAAAGGAATTCATTTAGGTACCATACGTAAAGACTATAAATTATATCGACCAGTGGATGTGATTGTGTAGACAGCACCCAAACACATTTTACCTAGATTAGGTAATAGTAATATACCTGACAGCGCTGCGTAATCACCTAAGTAAAAATTTTTGCGATTACTGCTTTAATTGGTGTGTATAATAAATATTAAAATGCGAAAAGGATTGAAAAATATATTATTCGTTTATTTGAAATCGAAAAACGGCTTAATTGAACTAATAGAGTTATATTAATAGGTTTCACGTTATCTATACATATAATAAAATTGTAACTAAGTCGAATCTGTACATTAAATATTTTTTGGAAAATCTTATTGCAATAGACATTATTATCGATAGTTTTTAGAATTTTTGTCTGTCTGTCAGTCTGTTATCCCATCACGGAAAAACCACTGGAGGGATTTTGATGAAATTCGATATGGTGATAGCTGATTATCCGGGTCAACATATAGGATACTTTTTACCGCGGGAAAATATCTAATTTCTAAGAAAAAATTCAAAATTATACTTATATGTAAGACCTAAGAATTTGTTTTTTGGTCATCTGAACGCGGGCGGAGCCGCGGGCAATGCTAGTACATAATATTTATAACCTGTCATAAATTTTGTATATAAGTAAATTTAGCCTCAAATGCCGTGAACCAGTTACTAGTAGAGCTAATGGCTCAATGTTACTAAGGCTTAGTTGCATGCAAAAATTCGTTATATCCAAAAATATCACTTTCCAATACTCGTAGACATCAAGTTTGAAAAGAGTGGAAGTCATTGTAAAGTGGCTAACTAAATCTATAAGCTAGGTCTTTGGTTTATAATAAAGTATTGTTTTCGTTAGTTTTGATGCTCTCCGAATATGGAAAAATCTATTTGATACTTTTGTTACCCGAATATAATTAATTATTAAAGTTAATATAAGGTGATTACCGATTTGAGGGAATCTTTCACTTTATACGTTTAAGTACAAATTATATACAATCTTAAATAAATATCGTGTAAATACGCTAAAAAAGAAAATTAAGTGTATGGAGGTGATTCTTCTTATATATAAACAATATTAATATATAATCACTAGACTAGAGGCTCATTTAATCTGTTCTTAGCTATAAAATTAATTGGCATTATCAACTTAAAACGTTTTAGTCGCTCCACCTATTTGTATTTACTCTGTAATTTCTCAGATAAGATTACGCTCTATAGGAGGCAGGTTTTCGATTTATAAGAAACCTTTAATTAACAAAACGCTTAGTGGTTCGTATTGCTACAATCTGAAGACTGAACTCTCCGCATTATTGATTAAAATGTCATTATTGGAATCTTGTAAGATGTTTTTATACTGATTGATGTTACCATTATTAAGACCCTTGTTTTTATGCACTCAACCAACACGCCCCGATGGCAGGTCTGCTAAAGCAAACCACAACAACCATAAGATTGCTCACACGGTCCACTTTGCTACCGGAGAAGTACCAGGAGCAACCCGCATGGCGCATCGCCCACCGAGGAGGGCCACCTCCCAGTGCGTTTCTTGGCTTAGCACCCGGCTGGATTGCCGGACGCTAATGAGCCTCCCACCACGACAAAGTGAACGCACGTTGAGGGAGAATATTATTAAGATCCTAACTAAACCCAAAAAAATATTTTTACGTAACAAAAATTTAGAAGATTATTAACTAATTCAAAAAAATAACTATTGCCCACGGAATGTGCTCGTGTACTATGGTTATTATCTCTTCTCTTCACTTCTTGAATTCTCTAAAAAATATATTTTTTAATTCCACTGATGTTCTTATTTACCTAATAATCGTATACGTAAAACGTTAGAAGTTACATTTAACTACTAATACTAATACTACATTGGCAGCAATCCGCTAACTTGTACAATTTAATGCTAGTTTACTTACACTTAAGTTACTAATGAACAGCCAAGCCAACAAAATTATATGTTTGAACTTCTAACAATTATCCATTCAGGAACAGTCCAAATTATCCATTCAGGAACAGTCTTTGCTATCCCAATAGATATCAAGCCTTATAGTCTAAGATCCCGATATATGTAGTGGACCCTTCATTTTTTTTCCTTTCGAAATATATTATTTAAACCATAAAACATATTAATAAATATTGCTCCAGACTATATTTTATTAAAAAACCTCTAAAAGTGTTTGGCATGACAAACCTATATATATCATTAAATTTGTTATAAAAATATCTACATTTTGATACGTAATTCGTTCCGCAAAATGATACGAGCCATTAACTACTTCAATTTACCTGTTTATACTTGGATGTCAGTAATGTGCTCGAAAAGGGCCGCCAAATATATAATAGCATTTTTTATAAGTTTTTTACTTTGATTGATTGGTACTAATTTAATACTTTCTTAGATTTACGCGAATATTTGACATTTTATCTTTGACTATCTTTTCGGATTATTTCGCGGATTTATTTTGATTTTTGGTTCCCGACGTTTCGAATGCTTTACAGCATCCATGGTAACGGGAGAGACTGAGGTGTTACATGTTTCAAAGGTATAGTTGTTACAGACAGCCTACCCACAATTAACAAAATGAAAATTGCAAAAATTACCTTACAATATTTTTAACTTTAAACATTTTTATAATTTTAATTAGTTTTATAATTGAATATGGAATATTATTTATTTAATTTTTGCTGTTATTATTATAATACAATTTTAAAAATATTTATTAGTAATCTATATTTAGCGTTGCCATTATTATATTTATAACCATAAAGAAAAATATAAAATTTAGTATTAATTATTTAAGCCATATAAATTGTTCTATGTGTAATTTAAAAAGTTAAAATTAATTAAAGATAATAATTTTAATTTAGTTTGCTATTATTTAAAAAGACAACTCACTAAGCAACACTATTACTATATACTTTTACAAATGAAAAATGAAAAAATATTAATCTGATATGCTGTCATTTTGATCTACACAGTAAGAACTTACTACATCTATTTGTCTGTTATGTTTAAATTTATTATTTGATTTTATTATATTAATAACAGGATCCCATGACGATGGTAGTACCCAGCTATCTTCCCTATTGAAATTTGGATGTTTTTTAATTTCTATGGCTTCTCGAATCATTCTAGGGTGATATCGGTTTGGTACTAATTTGTCACAGGAAAAGAGTTCTTGAAAAAAAATTAAAAATATTTGTTATTAAAGATAGCCTGGAGTAAAGTTTTGGTGGCAACTCGCTCTGCGTCATGTTTGTTCATATATTTTATGGTTTAAAAAATATATTTTGCCTGAAAAAAGAGTGAGGGGCCCACCACATAGATCTTAGACTAATACAATAAGATTTAATATTTAATTATACTAATTTTATACATTTTAATCTATTTAGATTTTTGTTTAGTTACAGAATTTTGGTAAAATATCATCTTTTAGCAAGAATCTCTTACTTTTTAGACTAAATAATGACGAGAAGTTTTCACCAACTCGCGCTTGGACCGCATGGTAAAGTATGGCCTGATCCCCATGAAGGGCCGGCCCGCGGCCTATATGGTGTTATAATTAAGAATATTAGGTTACAATCGCACCATATAATAATATGATTATCGATACATTATTTATTGTATAATAATAGTTTTCGAAAAATTTCCTCTTTCGAATGTTAACTTGTATGCATAATCTTAATTTATATAATAACCGCTTAGACAAAAATAACCTGGGGCGGAAAACACAGGCCGAGTACAATATATGTACGAGTATAGTGTATATACCTAGTATATATTTTTGTAGACACGGTTATCTCTGTCCCATAAACATTTTAGAGGAAATATAAAAATCATGTTTAAAATAACTTCTATATACTTTTTCATTGGATAAGAAATCGTTTCTTTTTATAAGAAGGTCCTTGTACATATTTGTGTTTATTTTCTTCCTCAATGCTTATCCGTCCCTTAAGTAGGTATTATAATAAAAGATTTATTTTCATGATTTGAGTTCCATCTTATAGCTCCGTTTTCTTAAGTCGACTTGAAATGAAGTATGAGGCTTAGTAAGAATATAAGCATATATGTATGTTCGTACATATCATTGAAGTATACCTATTTATACTTACGTTATAGTGCAGATAAGAGGATATAATATCTTTTCGTAATAAGCGAACAAGTTTGAAAGGGTGACCTTGTAACTATGAATACTAACCTGACAGAGCTAAACGAGTGTTACAATAAGCAAGGAATAATGAAATGAAAACTGAGAAAGACAAAAGTCTACCTATAAGTTAGAGGCCATTTGCACGAAATACTTGATTTAGCTTTCATAACTATCGTTTCCGAAAGGGCTGCAATAATGTTTTTTCATTGAGATTTAAAAATTGTAATTTTTTCGTATTAACATAATTTATGCTAAACTAGCTGCTCACCCTCGCTTCGCTCGGGTTCGTCCCTAGGTATTTCTTAAATAGATATAAATAGTTATTAGCCAGCGTTAGTCATGAACATTTAATTTTCTTTCTGACGTTTTAATAGTTATTCTGCTATACGGAGCGAAGACAAATCCAATAAATTAATAATCATGAAAATCAGTCCAGCAACTCTCGAGTTATAAGTGTTGTAACAAACCCGACTTTTATTTATATATATAGACTAGCAGTACCCACGGCTTTGCCCGCGTCCAAATTTCCGATCGCTAAAAAAATTCACAGGCATATCAACCGCTGGGCGAATCTGAAAATTACCCGAAAATTTCATTGCTCCAGCTGGCTTGGAGTCCATAGGAAACATACATACACATATCGATTTTTATTTTATTTAATCAACAATTTAAATTTATTTATTGCTCGGAAAATGGATATTTTATGAAAATTTAGTGGCACACCGACTGGAACAAGCCCCCCCCCCTCTTACTGGGACCATTTGTGTTTTCAAACCTTGCAGGGACCCACTCGAACATACACACAAAATATCATTAAAATCGTTCCTGCCGTTTAGGTGATGATCAGTGCACCCCGACTGCAGGGCCATCTACCGAGCCCAATTGTGTTTTCAAACCATCCAGTAGCCCATTGAAATATACACACAAAATTTTATCCAAATCGGTCCAGTCCTTTAGGAGTAGTAGGTTGACAAACACATGTACAGAAGAATTATATATATTAAGAAGATATACTAGTAACGTACTAAATTGCAGTATACCTGTTTACTAAAATTTTATTAAAATCTGTTTAGCCATTTCATGTTAAAAAGTAACATAGACACACGTACACACAAACTTTTGTAATTATAATACTAGACAAATTAAGAAATTATAGTGCTTTTTTTTATTATTAGTGACATGAAATGAACCTGTAAATTAAAATATAAAGTTTTATACTTACACACTCAATCTGCCTTATATAGAGCATAGGGTTGTTGTTCGCCTGCAGTAGAGGCCGGCCGTGGTTGAATAGCGCGCAAATTATCAACCCAAGCGAAAACATGTCGGACAATATGGTGCAATGGGCATTCACTTGCGCTTCAGGGGCTATATAAAAACATTAATTTAATGTAATTACGAACTCATTGTATTATATCACTATAGTTCATCTTATTATTATACGACTTGTAGTGCGCTTCTCCTCTCATGTAATATATTTTTAATATAATATTTATAATTGTTACTGAGTGATGCAGCGTATTGTATGTATGTAACCTTTATCAATAAAAAGGTTAAATGTGAAAAACTTTTTTTTAAATCTGACTGATGATAGTTCCAGAGATTAACACGTACAAACAAATTTTCAACTTTATAATATTAGTATGCACGTTTTAAATTTTATTTTACAATTAAATAGATTATTGCTGTTATGTCTTAGAAAAATATGTATTATAGCTTCCTAAAACAATTATCAAAGTTGGTTTAGTGGAATTGTTCTGCTAGTTGCAGACTTTGGTGGGCGAAGACTTAGTGTCGTGAGCACGAAAGTTCCATGCATGCCTTTTGTCATCGATTAATGGATTTCCATTAATCGATTGATAAATATTTATTGAACTCAAGTAATTTTGAAACGTAAATTATATTATTTAATTATTTATTAAAATTGTGTTTGTTACTATACGCTTGCACCACTTTGTCTGACTACTTTTTACATTAAACACGAAAAACATAGTTTCGGATAAAAAAATAACATCCCTTTTTGAAGTGAAAACTTCTATAGGCAGGTTTGTATGGGGAGTAAATTCATGTAAGTCGTCATTGACATGGTCTCGTGACATGTTAACGCTCAGAGAGATGTGAAAACCAGTTTTAAATAAACTTTAATTTATGATCAATCAATCGCATCGTAAAAATTTTACTCTCATAAATTTTTCCAAACGTGCCAAAAGAAGTATAACTTCATATCTAAATATTATGTGTATTTGACAGTTTTCGTTTATATTATTTGCATATTGTTCAAGGAAATGGAGGTAATTAGTAAAATATACGTAAGTTATAAGTTAAAGATTGAATATAGAGACTTAAGATATAATTCATACTTACCCATATAATCTAGGCAGGGCTGGCAAATTTTCGCTATTTTTATTGAAAATGGCTGCACGCTCACCACATCAGTTGGGTCAGGTCCAAGTATAGGCTCTGTAGACAAAAAAGTCAGTTAAGATTTTTGTAATTGACAACATTTCAAAATTTACAAGTCCCATAAACAAGTATTATTTATTTATTTTCCTGTCCTGAGTACGGACAAAAGTTTTTAATTCATCCTTATCATTTCTTTTCGGAGAAAATATTATTTACTGGAATACGTACGACGATGTCACTTACACGTCAGATATCATTATGATGTGGACGATCAATTCCATTTAGAAGTGTCAAAACAGTACTTTACCTTAAAGACTTGTGACATTACAATTGTCATTTGAGGCATACCACCGTTGAGAATGAAACAAACAGGCAATGTTTTTTATGATCTTGTAAAAGAATATAAGCTTCATTGTAGTGGGGTATAAACTATATTTCAAAAATGTATTGCTTATTAATTCGACCAGTAGAAACTAGCGTCTAAGAACTCGACTGGTTCAAACTCAACTTTATAATTTAATTTGAGAACATTAAACTGTATGAAGATCTTTAAAGATTTTATAAATAAAAGTTTAATAAGTTCGAAGTTATTAATTACATATTTTTAATTTCTTATTATGTTTTATAAGAGAATCGTCCTAAAAAATACGAAAAATACAAAAACTAACTAACTTGTTTATATTTTTCATGTTTGAGTTATGCGTGGATCATAAAAATCTTAAGATCAAAGCAAGCACCAATTTCCATAACGATCCCTTAATTCAAAATTTGCATGACGGATGCATGATGTTAAATTTATTTAAAGCCAAGTTGTGGCATCATTCAAGCCGCACGTCAAAATAACACAGTATTTTTTTCTTAATATAATAAAATAATAACCGCGTAAAATTTTAGTTGCGACACTTATATGGAGTGGGTTTAATAAAAATAATTTTTTAAATTATTTTTCTAGTAAACTATTATTCACTGTGTGTAGGTTTTAATTATGCAATGGGAGCTATAAAGCGTAAGTTTGTATCTGGGGAGCAGTCGCTAAATAGTTTATTATATAGTATAATATTAGTTTATGCTCCATGTATATTGTCCAATGTTCTATGCTTGTTCTTGTTATTTGTCACAAGCACAATTTTAGAAATGATTATAATGAAATGAAAAAGTAAAGAAAAATATCATTTTTATATTTTCACTCTTAATTTTTCACGGAAATAAAAAGACAGAGAAAACGGAAAAAAAGTCATGGAAGAAGTATGTACAACTTTTTATGAAAAGTTCTTGTATAACATTGTTATAGTAAACTTTACTATCTTAGAAGTTTTTTTGCAGTATAAATTTACGTTTATCATTAATGCTAAAGCTTTATCATCCCAACGATAAAAGATATATAATAATACTAGAAGAACCGGCGGTTTCGCAGGCGCTGGAACTACAAAAAAACTTTTAAAAAGTAGGTTTCATACAAACTTTCATCCCCTATTTTACCCCCTAATAGGATGAGTTTCGAAAAATGGTAAAGCACGTATTTATTTAATTGTATTAAATTGAAGAGCATTAATACCAAGTTTCAAGTAATTCTGATCATAAATATTTTTTGGGTTGTATTATATATAATATGTATTCCTGTGCGAATGACATAATCTCCTGCGGTAAAAAGCCTATGTCACTATCCAGCCCTCCAACTATCTCCAAACAAAAAATCACGCCAATCCGTCATTCCGTTTCGACGTGAAAGAAGGACAAACAAACAAACACACTTTTACATTTATAACTAATATTAGTATGCATGTATGTACATTTACATTACTAACATACTACATTTACATTACAACTAGGTATATTTTACTAACAGGCTTGAATAAAATATTAATCACTAAATTGATTTCATTTAATTAACAACGGAATCTCGTCGAATGCATGCCTGTGTTCAGGAATTTTGTATTTAATCAAGTATTTTGTAGCCAATTATTATGAAAATGCACATTGTTCAAATTCTCTGTTACGCAACCCGGTTCGACTAACATTAATTTTAAGATTATTTTTATGTGTATTTTTGTTATTGGCTTAATAGCCAGGCTTAAAAGTAGGTTTATTAATAATAATTCTATGAACCTAGAGAGTTTGTACAAAAATAATTGTATACTGTTAATTTTGAGAGTCATTGAAATCTAATACTTTCTTAGATTTACGCGAATATTTGACATTTTAAATAAAACTATCTTTTCGGATTTTTTCGCGGATTTATTTGGAATTTTGGTTCCCGACGTTTCGAATGCTTTGCAGCAATCATGGTCACGGGAGAGACTGAGGTGTTAGATGTCTCGAAGGTACGAAACGTCGGTAACCAAAAATCCAAATAAATCATTGATATCTATTATTAGTGGGATGCTTCGTATACTCAGATGCGGACTTTAAGTGCCTCAGTGGTCTAATGGCTAGCATGTACCTATGCTTGCACATCCAGTGGTCCTAGGTTGGAGTTCTAGTTTCGGTAAGTTTGTTCATTGAGTTTATGTGGTAAGTAGCTCTCATTAGGAGCCCAGTTGGAAAATTAGCGGTGTTTCACCCTCATGCCTCGGAGAGAGGAAGCACTGCAAGCTAGAAAGCAGTTCTGCTGAGTTGAATTGCTAGCTCTCAGTATATAATATTGTATTAACGAAATAATTTATTAATGTAAATAATTTCAGTACGCACTAACTTTTTAATAATAATAAGATAGGAAAGAATTTTTTTGTTGGAATTTAAAAAGAACGCTTGAGGTTATACCCTTCAATGATATTTCGTGGGAACCCATTTCAGTGACGCGAAGATGGAAAATATTACAAGTTGAGATAACAACGCATCGAGACATTTATGTTGTTTGTGAACGAGCTTTTACATGTAGCTCCCCTGTCTCGTGTGCCAGCGTAAGGGAAGTAGTAATAAGGTAAAACGTTTTTCCTCAGGAATTCGATCGAAATATTTTATAGCTAAATTTGCCGATGATTGGTTCTAGCCTTGAAGCGTAAAATTTTATCAACCAAATGGAGACGGATGAGTCTACTCACTCATTTTTGTACTTATAATTTACTAATACCAGTCACCGAGGCTCTACCCTAAAGATATTTTTATATTTTCTGCAAAAGTTTATTATAGGATACAAGTAACCCACCCTAGCTTTGTATGCAACTTTATATCTCCTACATCTTATGCATTCAGTAATAGTATTAAACGTTTACAAATAAAGCCATTAAAAAAATTAACTTTAATTTCTTTCCTAAATAAGCTTTGAGGCGCTAATATAATAGATCGAAGGTCGTAGAGAAACGGATGAACCGATTTGGCTTCCTTTTGAACTTTTTTTTTTTTTTGGAAATATTACCTTGAAAATTGAGCAATTCGGGAATATGATTTTTTATATAAGGTATTTGTATGTACTTAAATATCATTTTAAGGTAAATAATAGAAATGATTGTTGGTGTACAGCGGATCGTATGATTCATAGAATTAAATATTATGTTTTACATATTTAATGAAAATTAATTATAAAGCGATTTTGCTATTTTCATTACTATGAAACGATTTTTGTGATTGAATTATTTTAATCCCTATAGTGCTTATCTTTATCCAGTTAAATTGATTACTTTGGGGATTAAGTGAAAATTAAAATTCCAAAATTGCTGTTTATATCAATAAAAAATTTTTTTCGAAAATTTCTTTAAAAATTACGTTTAAATGTTTTTTACACCATGTAATCCTTTACAATTAAAATTTTGGTAAAAATTTTGGTAATAAATCTAAGAAATCTATACATGTGATAAAATTGTAATTAAGCCGAATTTGTACATTAAATATTTTTTGGAAAATCTTATTGAAATAAACATTATTATCGATACAGAGGCCGGATCTATAGTTTTCAGAATTTTTGTCTGTCTGTTACTGCATCACAGAAAAATCACTGGAGGGATTTTGATGAAATTTAGTATGGCGATAGCTGGTTATCCGGGTCAACATATAGGATACTTTTTACCGTGAGAAAATATCCGCGGTAAAAAGTATCATATAATAATATAAAAGAGCCGCGGGCAATGCTAGTGTAATATATAGTTACACTTTCAGTCTTAATGTTGTAAATGACAATACCGACGATTGAATTGACGATTCTAAATGAATTGTTCAAATCCAACGTCACAAAGTGAGTAAATATCTAGTACTAGTATTGCCCGCGGCTCCGCCCGCGTTCAGATGACCTAAAACCAAATTCTTAGGTTTTACATATTAGTATACTCTTACATTGCAGTTTTTGTATTTTTTCTCAGAAATGAGATACTTTTCCGCGGTAAAAAGTATCCTATATGGATAACCAGCTATCACCATACCAAAATTCATCAAAATCCCTCTAGTGGTTTTTTCGTGATGCGGTAACAGACAGACAGCCAGACTGACAAAAATTCAAAAACTATAGATTCGGCCTCTGTATCGATAAATGTATATTTTAATAAGATTAACCATGATGGGTTCAGAAGCTGCCATTTGGAATTCCATTTGACATTTGATTATCCTTTAATACACAAGATTTATATTATCACAAATAGTGTCAGATTGGTCACGTCAATAAACAAACAAACAGTACAGTGTAGATCGCTAGCAGCAAATATGCGGAGTATGCCATACACACTTTGACGCTTATAACTATATATAATGTAACTATGTGAGTGTTTTTTTTAACTTTTTTCAGTACAGTTAAAACGTTTATACAAACTTTTTAAAGTTCCAAATATTAAAAAAATATTATATATATTATCATATTTTCCAGGAAAGTTGTATTCAACTAGAATATTTTATAAACGGTTTTGTCATAACCAATTAAAGCAATACTAGTAATTGGCGCTGTGACATTGATAGCATTGAGAAAAACGGCACGAGTTTCTTTGTTTCAAAACCTTGCGACAGTAAATATTTTTTACATTTTTTTTCAAATTTTATCTAAAGTCACTACTTTAATACAAAAGTGAGGGTAGTCGAAATACCTAATTATGCTATACTAAGTACGAGCATATGCAAACAGTGTTGGCAAATTAATG